AATAAAGCTTAATAAAAATATTAATAGTTCTTATAATATTTTTCTTTAATATTTTACAAAAAAAAGTTAGTTTAGATTAATATGAAAGTCTATTTTATTATAGAATTTCATCAAGAAATTTTTTGAAATGATATTCATCAAGAATTATTATTATATTTGAAAAAATTATAAATTATTAAAACTTGTTTTATTATAATAATATAATATATTAAAAGAAAATAAAGATGAAAATACAAAACTTTATGAATATTTAAGATTATAATTAACTAAATAATATACATATATTTATTTAAATTTAGTTGATATGACAATATATATTATACTAAAATATAGAAAAAATAATTAATATTTATTAAAATAAATATATTTTTTAATATTAAATAAAAAATATTTTAGAAGTTTCAAGTCTTGAAAATAATTAAATATATAAGTATATATATATTTATTTAGATTATATAATCTAAACTGATATTAATATAATAAACTGATTTTAAAATAAGTATTTAAGTTAACTATTAATATATATTATTTATTATTAATAAATAATATATTGTGATAATGATTAATATATTATTATATATTGATAAATAATATATTAACAATGATTAATAATTATTAATATGAATATTTATCAAAGATTATTAGAGTTATTAATTAATATTAATATTTTAGAGAGATATTTATTAATTTTTACAAATATATTGATGATTCTTGATGAATATCTCTTCAAAAAATTTTCTGATAGACTTAATTAATAAGTATAATTATACTATATTTTTTACTATCATTATTATTATTAAATTATTATTTCTTGATTTATTAAGTGTATATTACAAAATTATTAAGTTTAATAATAAAAAGCAGTTGGATTTGAAAAAAACTGTCTTTAACTTTTATTAAAAATGAATCTCTATAATTAATATTAATAATAAAACTATCAAGAAAATTTGAAAATTTTCATATTTAATTCAAAAACTAATCTTGAATAAGACTATCATTATAAATTTTAGGATTATGAAAGGAAAATTACTACCAAATCTGACATTATCAAATTATTATTATATATTTTTTAATTGTTATCTTCTTTCTTATCAATATATTCTTTATAAGTATTTATTCAATTATAATAAATTATTAATGACTAATATTTAGAAGAAATTTTAGTAATTATTTATAGAGACTGACTTTGAAGTGTATGAGTATTAGAGAATAATTAAAATATCTGAGCTTGTTCAGATTCAAGAGGAAAAAAAGGTAGAAATATATAAGTTATAAATAGATAAACTTATAAAAAGAATGTGAGATAAATATTGGATAATGAAGGATAAAGATAATGCAAATGCTACTAGAGCATTTATCATTTGTTTAGATAAATCATTAGATTTAGTTTTTAAAATAATAATATAAATAATTTTATATTTAATTAAAAATAATTTAATAAAATAGCTAATTAGATAATTAAGTAATCTATTTTTCTTTTTTTTTAGATTTTTAATATACCTAATGATTAAATATTTTTTAAATAATGATAATCAAGCTCTTAATTAAATTATCTAACTTCTTCCTTTTCAGGCTCTTAAAATAATTCACATGATTTGATTTGACCAATCATGAATTTTAACGTGATTTAAAATCACATGATATGATCCGGATCGAATCACATGTCACATGATACTACCCCGCTTTAGTGGATCTCCAAAACGGAAAGCTATATAAATGTATTACCCGAACAAAAAATTATGATCTTTTTTTAATGTCTCCTAAGCAAAAACGAATAACTGCACAAGAGTTTTCTGAAGATTTTCGTTATGGTAATGGAATTTTATTATGTCAATTTTATAGTCATTTAGTTAAATAGGAACTATTCTTTCGCATATTAATACAACAAGTAAAAATATTACTTCTTGTCAATATATTTTATAGTTAATTAATCCATCTACTGAATTTTACAAAAATGGGTAATTTCTTTGGAACAAAATTTCTTATCAATTACCCCTTCTTAGTGAAAATAGCTATCAAATAATTTCATCATGTAGTGTAGAACGTAGTTTTAGCGCGATAACAAAATTTTGGTTGATGATAGGCAAAATCTTAGTCAAGAATCTCTTTGCGCTTACAATTATGTATTATAATAAGAATTATATATTTATATAATAAAATTCAATTTCAGAATAAAACAGAATTTTTTCAGTCAAAACGGAATTTTTCCGGAAAAATTCTGGTATATAGATATCGGTATAAAGCGGAATTTTGGAACAAAACGGAATAAAAGGGAATTTATATACATGTATATACATATGCGTGCCTAATTCATTTGAACAAGAATTATCGTTATGTTTATTGAAAAATGACTCCTAAGCAAAAACGAATAACTGCATATAGTCGTGCACAAGAGATTTTTCTCAAATTCGATGCTTAATATTGTATCTGTGACACTTTTACAGTTTAATTTAAATGAAATTGGAACAAAATTTCTGAAATAGATATCAAATCAAATATATTTAGTTACCAACTCATCATGTAGTATAGGACATAGTTTTTCAGTTTATAACAATATTTTAGAAGATAGCTGACAATAATTTGAGTTTAAAATCACTTAAAATATTGAATATGATGTATTTCAATAATAATAAATGACAAAAAAAATTATCAAAAAATTTTTCAATATCGAAATAAATATTATATATCAAATTTTTTTCAGATCGAAAATAGTGCTATATGAAGATAGATTGTGTTGCTGCGATCGCGAGTTGTTCTGGCAGGTAAGTCACGTATTTGATAACAAATATATGAGTTTACGTGAATATTTATAACAAACCTCGTTAAAAATTCGGGGGATTAATTTCGGGTTTATCGAGGTTTAATTAGTGCTTCGGTTTAGCGGGTTCGGTTTAACGAGGTTTGACTGTACATGTGTAAAACATTTTATTGAATATGCATTGCATATATACTTGTACGTATTTCCGAACGAATTAAAAATCCGACACCAATCACATGTACCCATCCGACCCACCACCAGGGATACGAAAATCAATCAATAAAATCATTTGAATATCTCCGACTACAAAGTTACTCTCGATAAACCGGCTGGTATTCTTATAGTTATTGAGTTGGCAAATTATTTTATAAATCGGCTCTATATAAAATAATAATATAGCCGATTTACAAAAATGATCAGAAACATTCGAATGATTTTGATACCATCCAATTCGTCTCGTCACTGCGAATTGAATGGTGTTAGATTCATTCGAAATGGATTGCTGGTTCTTGAGATATTCCGTGATAAATTTCTATAGAAAAAATTCATTGCAAATTTGTTAAATAATTGTCTTTTCAGGTCTGGTACGGAATCCCGAAGAACGAAATCCCAAATGAACGGCACCCCTAACAAACGAAATCCCGAATGCACGAAATCCCGAAAGCATAGCATCCCAAATGCATGGAATACCAAAATTATCACGATTTCGGGACGCCGTTATTTCGGGATTTTGACAATTACCGGTCTCTTCCCTCGAATATCTCAGGAACCTGTGATCGACTCATTAAACCCACGACTATACGACACGTGCATTTTCCTAATGATGTGTCTAAATTAGTAATATAGGCCACCCTTAACCCTAGCCGGATTATTGAAATTAGAGTCTGTTTATAAAAAAATCGAATCGGTTCTACAGAAATTGACCGATTTATCGAGATAGCCGGTTTATCGAGATAGTTTGGTTTCAAATATGATGGACAAAAAACAACAAGGGCATTGACAGAGTATGTCGCACGGAGGATTACAAAAACTGTAACGAGTCCTAACAGGCGTGCGAGGCTCTCTTTCCAAGCATTGACCGCAGGGACCATATAAATGGGTGGTTCGCATACGGGCATATTGTTCAATATACTGGAAAAGAGTATGTCACGCGAAACTAAGAGGATTAAAAAAAATTGTAATAGGTCGCTCTTCTCAACGAAATCCAATTCTTCAGCTTATCTTCAGTCAATTTAATAAACGCACGACCAGAGACTTTTTTACGCGGCGTCTAGCTGTAATTTTTTCAGATAAAAATTCGATAAGTTTTCCGTATTAAGCTTTTTTAATCTTGTCGTTTAACTTGTATTCCGTTCCACCAATAAGGTATTTATATCTATTTATGGATCTATCACAATTATAATGTACAGGGGTGTCGTGACCAATCCAAAATGTCTCTTAATCATGTGAGCTTTTATTGAAAAATAAAAAAAATTGCGAAAAACACAGAAAAAGAAAGTTGAAATCTAACTTGAAGTTCTAATAAAAAATGTCAGGAAGACAATTTTACGTATAATTTTTGTCTTATTTCTAACTTTAACTTTAACCCAAACCTTGAAAAACCTTTAATAGTTGCCGGCACATATATGATTTTCGCATTCTTATTGGTTTGGTATCATGTGATCAGGAACCAAGGACAGATTCATTATTTTGGAAGATTTGCTCCCCAAAAAATCATCACCCATAATTAATTCCCTGGCTCAAGAAAAATTGTAATTATTTAATTGATATAATGGTGCTTATTCATATTCATGATTTTCTTACTGGAGTTGGTTGTTTGTTTCCGGGAGAATACAGTATATATTTACAATTTTACGAAAAATAAAAATTTAAAATAAAAAATTACTTGATTCACCTCACTAGCTTTATAAACTAACGCGTGACAAATAAAATAACGTAATCACGTATCACGTGAACACTATTTCAAATAAAAAATTTTAGGTTGCGGTTCTTACAATAATGAGTTGAAATTCTAAATTCTAATCTACTTATCGGATGGTATGATCACCTGACATAAAATAAATAAGGTTTGGGTTGTTACACAACCGATATCAGGTAAAAAAATAAATTTGTGTAAGCGAGGGTAATGTTTATTGATAAGTTTCCAAGAGTATTCTTGCAGCGTCATTTTGAGTTTGAGTAGTCGCCTGGTCATCGAAAATATTATTAGTTCCAAATATGATGTGTTGCTGTGTTGGTGTCAATGGCAATGGTTGCGGTGGTGGCAATGGTTGCGGTGGTGGCAATGGTTGCGGCGGTGGCAATGGTTGAAGTTGTTGTGGAATTGGTTGAGCATTCATTTTGAAGTTTCAATTTATTGAGTAAGCGGAGAAAATTCTAACTGAATTTTATTGTATAGCAGAAAGCGCAAGCGGAATTATATAAAATTATGTGAAGTTTCAATTTATTGTGTGAGAATGTGTGTATGCGGAAAAGAACAAGCGGTGAGAGAGTATTTATATATGTAGTCATTCTGTAAAAATTTATCCTTGTATGAAGAAGACAAAGATAAAAAAATCATATACAGAATTTGCTTTGGAATTCTTAAAATCTATAAAAAAAATAATATGAACAAAAAGAAAGTTGGCAAATTTTCGTACATTAATGGACCAACTATAATATTAAGCACCGTTTATTTTTAAATATAAGTAAAAAATTATAAGGATATAATAATTAAGGTTACTTGATGTGAAAAAATTTAAAAAAGATCATTTACGGCAAGTAAGGAGGTAGATGCCCGAGAGTCTTAATAAAAGACACTTTAGTGGCAACATCTCTCGGTTGATGAAAAAATCTTGTAAGCGAAAAACTAAGAAAGTCAAACTAAAATGAATCTTTAAAAAAATCTTCATAGACGCCCACAACTATTCATCATTTTTAGTTTGTTTGTTTGTTGTGCGTCGGTATATCTTTTTTTGTGTTGTATAATGTAAATTATTTTCTTATTTAATGTTAATTCCCCCGAAAAAGTACTCTGCAATTGATCGTTTGGTTACATAAATAACATGTCAACTATAAATAAATCAAAGATTCGCCAAGAAATGAAGACTGAATTAAAATAATATTTAATAATTATATCAATATTAATTTATTAAATCTAAAATTATCATTCATTATTAAAGCTATACTTAATGATTAATCTATCATCTATAAATCATGTAAATTAACTTCTATTTTATTGTTAAATAATAAGTATGAGAAGTTTATTGATAATGAAGAACAGAAAAAGTCAGTCTTATTAGTATAAAAAACTCAATGTCACTTGAACATTGATTTTATGCATAAGGAATTATTGGAATGGTTACGTGAGAGGCTTGTGGTTAATGCTCTTGATAATATTGTAGAATTCTTTTTTATTTGTCGAATAAATTAATGTTTTGGCCCTTTCGATGAGCTTCACTTCCAGAAATATTATAATGTATTGTAGATTTTGGAAGACCGGTTCCTTTTCTCATAATTGTTGAATAGCTTTTGCATGTACCTTGTCCGTTTTCGTATTTCTTTTGCATTTTCTATTCTATTGTCCCATAATTGTTGCATGCACATCTTGACGGACGCCCATATTCGTTTGATTGTAAAAATGCCGACGATTAAGAACCATGTGTGTGTTACAAAAAAAAGATTTATTTTAATAGTCGACAAATATTATTTTAAGTTACATTCACTGTCCTCGCAAATATGACGCAAAACGAATACAATTCAACTTAATATGAATCAACCCAGTTGAGTACAATGCGTAAATCAATGATCCCTTCTGTAATTCTTTTCCACAAGATATAGAACTATTGTTCTGTTCAATGAAAATGACCCGGCTCTCCGGCAAAAATTATTTTTTATTATTTATAAGTTGTGATCAGTGAAACAAAGAAATTCCTGTCATGGTTTAGAATACTGGCACAGCAGAAGTTCAAAAAAATTTGTTTGAATTTTCTTACTAAAAAAATTCTTCATTATCAATAGCGATAAATTTCTACATTGAGAATAGAATAGAAAACCAGCAGATATTAACTGGTGCGATTATATCATTTAAATGAAAAATTACATCTATTATTAGCTGATATTATAGCGATAATGACAAATAAGGTTGACTCTAATGATCCTGAAAAATCGACGGACTGATTATAATGAAAATTATCGACCAAAATTGGCCAGTCGATTTTTGTGCAACATTCCATATTTAGCAAATATTGATAATAGACCTTCAAAAAAAGTTAAGTCATGGATGATGGTTTCATTTTATCATTAATTACATTTCTAATGAAGCTGAGATTAACGGATCAGAAAGAACAAAATTCATTATTTTAGGCAACTTTGAGTTCACTCCCTAATTTCTTCTTTAGTATGTTGTTCTAAAAAAAATCGACTGTTGATTAGAATACCCAACAGGATTCCAGCGTCAATTGGAGACAAAGATGAAGATTTGCTAGAACTCGGGTTTAATAATTCGATATCATCATCTTCGTTTGTATTGATCACAGTTGTATTATTAAACGAGAAGCCAACTGATCCGATTCTGTTGCATTATTATCATTATCGTGGTCTCGCGGAATCAACGTAAGAGAAATGTCGTTGGTGTTACTATTCGCATTTCGAGTTGCTCTGGAGGCCAAGATCGAGAATGGCGTCCATGTAGAAATAGCCAATGCTAATTCCCAGTATCCCGAATAAAAATCGTTTGAATGCCGTAGTCACAAACCACGTTGATAACATAGCAAATGCCGTTATAAAATTCGATATAATCCATAGGTTCGGCAACGTGAGAAATGGAAATGATTTTGTTCGTGAACTTTCTCTCTTTCTAGGAATTGCATGTACACTCATCCTCCATTCTCTTTACACGGGCTGTTGAGTGGATTATATTTCACGAAGGTACAGTGGTCGACATACAGTGTGTGACAAAAAAAACTTAACTATTTGTTGATCATATTAGATAATAATAAATATCTTCAATTTTAGCTTAATTTATACCATTTTTTACTGAATTAAAATTAAATAACAGATTTATTTACTATATTTATTAAATAAATTCTTGCAGAATCCACTATTAAAATGTTTGCAAATAAAAGATATATATGGTCCAGTGCAAAAAGATTGGTACATCAAATAAATATTAATAGATTATTTTTTCAAAATAAAATTTTAATTCT